TTTTGAGTGCGGTTATTAGAGTTTGATTTAGAATTTTAACCAAACAAAAACGTTGCTGACAAAAAATAAAGAGGCGCAATGTCAGTGGTTTTCGCTCCAGAAACTCTTCTTATACTGGTACAGAATTTCTCAAAAAACTTAAGTCATAGGAAATGATGTTTGCCACTCTTTATGCCCATCAGCGAAAGAGTTGACATGAAACTACCTTAGCAGTTAAAAATATTCTTTTGGACAGAGTTTTCCCAAATTCCAACCCACTGCATTTTCGGCAATAAATTTGGTATGAAAGAAAGTTTGTAGAGAAGGCCATTCAGTTGGGTATTTTGATTTATTAATGTTTATCAATCTTGACAAGAGCAGGGGCGTATGATATCAATCAATAAGTGCGTGCGCATCTCCAGCCTTAAAAGAGCTTGGAGTCTTTAAAGGGGGCCTTTCTTCTTTTCATAATTGTTTATTGAAGTCAAGTAAGTCTATGCAGGGGCGTATGTTATCAACTGCGTTACAACGCCAATAAAAAGAAGTTTTTTTTTTCCATTGAATAAAAAGTGCTCTTAACAGGTGAATCGACACAAATTCATATAAAGCTACTAGCTACTAGCTACTTTGACGGAACTTCATTGGCTCGGCTGATGCCAGAGATGGGAATTATGAAGTTACTCCTCGTTCTCGCTTTTTTCGGAGTCGTACTCTGCAAAGAGTCCAAAGGTAATGTTAAAATTACTAGTAACATATTTTAGATAAGATTAAATAGAAAATTTTGCAGAATTTTACGATTTTTTCCTAATTTATGAAACTATACGTGTCAAGGTGATTTGCGTTCGTGAATTGTTCACTTCTTATCCCTAAATGTACTCACAGAAAGAGACTCGAGAAATTAAATGTGAAAAAGGTGCTTTATTCAGTTCTTTGCACTCAAAATAAGCCTTGAAAGCTCCTAAGCGACACTCTGTTAAAAACCGTTGTTGAAACAATTCGCTCAAACCAACAAGATTTGAGACAAGGGAATACGTTTTATCATTGTTTATTTGCAATTAGGTTCTCAAGAACTCGTTAATTATAGGAAAGCTAGACTAAAGGTAACATTGAAATTTCGTTTTCAGCGAAGCTTCTTGAAGATCGGAAACTCTTCGAAGGAGACATTATCCTTACAAGAAACCAACGTAACTCTGCTTTGGGCAGAGCTGCATCTAGAACCAGAAGATGGCCGCGTGCTACGATGGTATATGCCATTGATCGTTCTCTGTGTAAGTGCTTATATGTAACATTTATGATTAGTTGTGCCTTTTGACAGAGTGCATGATAGCAAAGTGAAATGTCTACAGCTGAGTTATAGAAATTAGTGACAAAGGTCCTATTCTTATCTTTGCTCTCAGTTTTTCGCGTGGTGTGAATTGTTAAACTTTTAGGTTAAGATTAAGTACAAACATTTATCTGTGATCACTCGTGAGTGTTTTTTTTTTTTACTTCTTTTGAACTTTTTCGGGCTCTTAGTTATCCATGAAAACTAATCTTTTTACTTTAATCGGATTTAAAGCTGTCCATGCTCGTGCAAGGAGGGCCATACGGGCTGGAATGCGTCAATGGAGTAGAAGAACCTGCGTCCGTTTCAGGCTACGAAGGGGGAACGAAAGGGCTTTCGCTTACTTTATACGTGGTTCAGGGTAAGAACAATTATTTTAGTCTTTGCTAGGTGTAAGTGTTCAGAAATGCTTTGCTTTTGATATCAAAATTAATCTCTCTTATATTGTGGCTGTGGCTCACATTAACGGAGATAGATAGTGTGCACTTAAAACCAACCCATTGATGACCAAAACGCACCTTACTAGTTTCCTCCTTATTGCCACCTCTTACTCGTCCAAATGCTCTTTACAAAGGTCGAGGGAGACTAGCAATATAACTAAAAAAAAGTCGGAGAATGGGAAAAGTCTTCCCTAGTGCACGCTTTTTGCGCCGGTACATTGGGGCGGACCTTTTAGGAACTTGAAGCTCTAAACGGGGGCCTCTTTAAAGTGTTTATTATATATATACATTCATCGGATAAGTTTTGCTGCTCTAAGAAAACGAATTGATCACTATCAAGGTCTTTTGAGTAATTAGGTCTGTATAGCAGCAGATATGTCACGAGTTTAAAAAAAATAAACAACACTTTAAAAACATATTTCGACACTTATGATTTATGCAAAGTACAAAGTTGACTTAGTTAGTTGACTTAGTAAAATGTTGATTGGACAAAACAAACAATAGTTACAAAATAATGTATGCATTTAAAAAAAAAGTTTTAAATGAACATGATAAAATTGACGATTAAGTGTAGGTTGCTCACATTAAATGTGGGTAGCTTCATTGATTTTAAGTTGGAAAGTTGTGGAAGCGTGATGATTTCTACACTAAAGGGGAAAGGAACCTTAAATCTAGCCAGTGTACTGCAAGAATCACATGCACAGGAAGTAAATTTCAAGTTGCTATGGATCTGCATAAGAGTGAGAGTCTTTTTTCTGTTAATGCTGCTGTTGTTATTCGTTTTGAGATGTTCATCATTTGTGGGAAGAACTGGCGGGCGTCAAAACATCAACCTACATCATGGCTGCTGGACCACGGGAATAGTGGCTCATGAAATTGGTGGGTACTATGTGGCTCTAGGAGAAAACAGTCATGTTCCAAGGACTCATTTGCGAAATAAACCTGCACCAAAATATCTTTTAAGGACTTAAGCATAGCTACGAGTAATTTTTTGGCAAAAATGAATCTTACACAGCAGTGGTCACCGTTTTGTTTTGAAGCAACCATTACTTGATTTATTCAAATTGCTTCATTGCTTTTATTACTGTGACTATGAACCACTGTGCTCGGGTTGTCTGTTGAAATTTGTGCTTTCCCTTTTTTTAATAGAGAGAATTAGCAAACAATATTTATTATCTATCGCAAAGAAAAAAACAACAAGAACGACAAAAAGGAAGGGATGGGAAGAAGCAAAAACTCGTTATATTCGTTAGCTCGCTCAGTCATTAAGATTCTTCATTGACATGATTCATGGGAGAAGATGTCTACAACAGAACTTTTTTAAGGCTTTTGTGGGGATTGTTCTTGTATTTAAGAGGAAGGAAAACACAAGATTAATATTACTCCCTGATCTAATGGTGTACTCATAGCTAAACACAAGTGGTAGCCTGTGCACAATAAGTAATTTCTATA